CATATGTGAGAGAGCGGATGGCCACTTGCTGTAACTAGTATTCTGCTTTTCTTCCCACTAGGCTCCCTGCTGAAAAGGAGGCTGAGGGCGTAGGAAACCAGGTTGACCGCTCTGTTGTTTGCAGGGAACTCTGCCTGGGCAAGTTCAAGGGTCCACTGCAATACCTAGCATGGAACGAGATGAGATCCATCGTCAGAACAGGTAACTGAAAGGAAGTTCAGGAATGATTGAGAGTAATGTCAGATCAGACGAAAGAAAACCATTCTTCGTACCACATGTGATTAACACATGGAATTCTATGGCAGAAGATGTGGCAATGGTTGCTTGCAAAGAGAATTAGACAGATTAGTGGCACGTCTGTTGACTTGCCATGGCAAGAGGAACAAAATGTTGTATTGTGGTGTGCTGCTGTTCAGAGTCCCAGACACTCGGTTCCAGGCAGAGGGCCTTTTCAGAAGTTTCACCCGCCCTATGGAACACCCTCCCATCAGATGTCCGGAATATTAGCCTTAGGCTATGCTATAAAATTCACTGTCCTGTGATATCATATATGAGTTTATACTACTGATTAAGCCCAGGATGGCGAAACAAGGCTAATATTCCGGAAATCCTTGTCTTAGACTCTGTGAAAGGATTCTGTGGAACTGCGACAACCTTTTGTGTGGATTGTTGGACTCTCTGAACAGACAAGTGGAATAGACACTTGCACATACAGTGGTACCTCGCAAGATGAACACCTCGCAAGACGGAAAACCCGCTAGACGAAAGGGTTTTCCGTTTTGGAGGCGTTTCGCAAGACGAATTTCCCTATGGGCTTGCTTCGCAAGACGACAGCCCATAGGGAAATATCCGGGACAGCGGGGAAGCGCAGCGCGTCTTCCCCACTGTCCTCGGACCTCCTCCGAAGCCTGGCGGCGGGCGGGAACGCCTCCTCCCGCCGCCGCCGGGCTTCGGAACAATGCTCCGAAGCCGGGCGGCGGGGCGGGAACACCTTCTGAAGGCGGGCGGGGGGCGAAAGTCTTTGTTCCCCCCTGCCTGCCTTCCCGGGAGAGCGGAGAAACACAGCGCGTTTCTCCGCTGTCCCGGACGGCTTTTGAAGGCAGGCAGGGGGGAGCAAAGACTTTCGCCCCCCGCCCGCCTTCAGAAGAGGTCCTGGACCTCTTCTGAAGGCGGGCGGGGGGCGAAAGTCTTTGCTCCCCCCTGCCTGCCTTCGCAGGGGCTTTTAAATCGCCCCGGACAGCGGAGAAGTCCTCTGCTGTCCCGGGGTGATTTTAAAATGCCGCCCGCCAGCATTTTAAGATCGCCCCGGACAGCGGAGAAGTCCTCCGCTGTCCCGGGTTTTTTTAAAATGCTGGGGGTGGGAAGAAAAGCCCGTGTCCCGTCCCCCCCCAGCCTTCAGAAGAGGTCCGGGGACAGACTGTCCCCGGACCTGGTCTGAAGGCGGTTTCCCTAGGAACGCATTAATTGATTTTCAATGCATTCCTATGGGAAACCGTGCATCGCAAGACGAAAAACTCGCAAGACGAAGAGACTTGCGGAACGAATTAATTTCGTCTTGCGAGGCACCACTGTATATGGACCTTATGCATTAACTGATTAGATATTGAACTGATCCACTGGGTCTTCTACTTTTTTCGTTGAACTTTATGAGCTACTTCTGTTGAAATCTACAATTCAATACAATGAATAGTATATATTATTTTTTCAAAAGTACAGCCAGTTACGTCTTGTGTGTTTATTGAATATGTTTCACATAACCAGAGGTTTGTTGATGTTTTGCTTACATGCATGGAGGCAGAGCTTGCATTCTGCAAGGATTCAGCAGAGGGATGACATTGTAATGTACAGCTGTGTTTACAAGCGGCAACCATTCATGTATAATGTGGGGAAAGGTGCTTTGACACTGAGAAGCACCATCCATAGAGGGCCAAGGCTGTTCCTATCAGCACATCTCCACTCTGGCTTCTGTTTCTTGATTATGTTTATTTGTGTTTGGAACTGGCTTCTGTATAGGAAGAGAAGATACTTTGCCACTTCTTGAAAAGCTTTCGTCTAAGCAGGGTCACACACTTTGCTACACTGTATTTCCAGACTATTCACCAACATGAGGGCTAGGAGCTTTCATTTTAACATGTTAAACACCAGATTTCATTTCACTTTTAATTTGTATTTCTATAGTACGATATACAAGGCGGCTTACAAGCTGATGAAAACAACAAAGACCGCACACTTTATAACAATCTAATCCAATACAATGGCTCTCACCTTATGTTTTTAATGTAAGATGAGAGCCAGAGAAAATCCCCCACGTCCACTTGTTTCTTTCCCTTTTGGTAACCTAGGATGGAGCTAAGGTAGGATGCCCCAATTTTATTTAACTCGTTCTTTTCCTTTCCTTATCAGAAGTAGAACCAATCACCCTGGACTGCGACACTGCTCATCCCAAATACACTTTCTTACTGCAAAACTATCGTGTGGCGTTTGGACTGTTTAAGAATCCCTTGAACTATCCAGTGATATTTCAGGACTCTCCTGTTGTGCTGGCGAAAGAGGGGTTCCATTCAGGAAGACACTACTGGGAGGTTGAGGTGCAAAACAAGGGAGACTGGTTGATTGGCGTAGCCTTGGAGTCCATCCCAAGGCAAAAAGGCAAGGATCCCACTTCTCTAACGGACAAGATCTGGTGTCTGGAGCCAACAGAGGAGGATAGCGAGCCTCAAAATGGATCGTCATGGTGGAAGGTTGGCGTGTACCTGGACTATGAGGGAGGCCAAGTTTCTTTCTATGATGTAGCAGCTGGGTCTCACCTCTGCACACACACAGCCCGTTTCAGCGAAAATGTCTACCCTTTCTTCCAACCTACGCCAGCTGCTTTCAGGCAAAAACGCACCATTAGCTTGAAAACTTGTCACAGTTAGGACATTAAAGCAATTCTTAAGAGGGTATTATTATAAAAAGGAAAGGTAGGTGTGTTTGCCCATTAGATAAAAGTCCAAAGTCCATACTAAGGCAGTGCTTTCCCATAGAAAACCAAGGCACGCTTTCCCATAGAAAGTAATGCAGAATGGATTACTCCGTTTCAGTCTTTTAAAAACAACCCCTAAAACAGCAATTTAACATGAATTTTACTATCTAATGAGACCATTGATCCACAAAATGAAAGCAATAATCAATGTACAGTACTATAAAATAAATACTGGCCATTAGATAAATTGACCCTTGGCCAATAAAGCGAGATGAGCGCTGCAACCCCAGAGTCAGTCATGACTGGACCTAATGGTCAGGGGTCCCTTTACCTTTAGATTTAAAAAAATAATAATCAAGTAGCGATAAGGAGATATATATGTGCGCAACACAGGCTGGGATCCTGGGAGGAAGGTAAACAAGGCCAAATGTCATTTGCACTGAAAGAAAAGGTTTCCACTGGGTGCGATGGGGAGCTCTAGCTTTTCTTCCAGAGCAACAAAAAGCAGGCATGTAGGCACCGATCCAGAATGAAGGAAAGGAACAAAAAGCCCTTCTGATTCCCACAACCACCAGGGATCTATGATCTGGGTTAGGGCCTGCTATTTACTTTTTTTAAAAAGCCCTTCATCCCATTCGTAACTGTTGAAGCAGGCGAAGCCGACGCAGCCTATTTGGCAGACTACAACTCCCATCGTCCCTGACCACGCTAGCTAGCTGGGGTTGATGGGAGCTGGGAGTCTAACAATCTCTGGAGGGCACGACAAGGACAAAACTAGTTCTTGTATGGTCTGCCCTTTAGACACATTAGCTTACATTGTTTTCGTACTAGCGAAGCGTGCCAAAGATGGCCTTTCCTTATAACCACGTGTGGTGGCTCTCTCTTACTACATCCAAAAAGTATCAAAGAAAGGGCTCAAGACGGTTTGAAAGCAGATTAACTTGTGTTTGTATTCTGATTGGATTTGTTATCAATTCAGATGTTTTTAACTGAAAATTAATAAAAAATATTTACAGTGGTACCTCGGGTTAAGTACTTAATTCGTTCCGGAGGTCCGTTCTTAACCTGAAACTGTTCTTAACCTGAACATAGGCGCCGACTCCATGGGGCTTGAGGGGGCCCGAGCCCCCTCAAAAATTCGTTTGGGGGGGCTCCGCCCCCCCAATAATCTCCGGCGCCCCTCCAGCAGAGCGCCATCGCCGCCCCTCCCCCAGCCCAAAATGCACAGGGAGGGTCGGGCTGCATGCCTCCTGCCCTCCCTCCCGAGCAAAAGCTCCACCCAATTTCCTTTGGAGCTGATTAATAGGCGCAGCACGCTCTCCCCTATTCGCTCACGAGGAGGCGGCGCCACTTTATTTGCATATTCATGAGCTTATTTATTATTCATGAGCTTTCCCGGGCCCCCCCCAATATTTTTTATAAGTCCGCGTCCTTAAACCTGAAGCACCACTTTAGCTAATGGGGCCTCCCGCTGCTGCTGCTGCGCCACAGGAGCATGATTTCTGTTCTCATCCTGAAGCAAAGTTCTTTTTTTAAAAGTTTTTTTATTCAAAATTAAAACAAGACATATTATCCAAAAACATATCATCCTTGTTTTCCCCCCATTTTGCCTGCCCCCCCCCGGCAAAACTCACCCACCCCCCGACTTCCCTCAGTTCCAGTCTTTGGTTTCTCTGAGACTGCTGTTTTCTGCATGTTACAAAGTTGTATAGATCCTCAAACTATTTAGCTGATTATTATCAATAAAAAGTTACTAAGCAAAGTTCTTAACCTGAGGTACTATTTCTGGGTTAGTGGAGTCTGTAACCTGAAGCGGATGTTACCTGAGGTACCACTGTATAACAAAAACTTGAACCTGCTGAGGCAGAACTGCAGAAAGCCCTGCATGAAAACTGTTTGGCTTCCATATACAGTTTGGTATAAATAATAAATTATTATTATTATTATTCCATAAATTCCACCCCCCCTTGGCACAGCCACAGTAAATATGCACACCCTCCCTTTCCCGCAGATACACAATTCCAAAAGAACCAGGTTGTTTTTTATACCCATTTTATTGACAGTGGTAAAAAAAAACAACACAAAAGAGTTATTTACAAGTTTAAGGCAACGTCACCATGTAATGGGCTGCGCTTCGGTCTCAACGCCGCCTCTTGGCTGTGCTGGGCAAGGCTGGGGTTGCTGGCGCTGCAGCCGCCCTCTTCCTCCTCGTCCTGGTCGGGGAGTGGCAACGGAGGGGGGGCTCATCCCGTTCAGCCGGTGGGCGTCCACATCCAGCTTCTGCTGCAATATACCTGTCAGGATGAACTCTGCGTTGGCGATTGGGAGTCTGGCGTCCTGAGCTGCTTTGCAGCGGGGCAGGTCTTCGGGACAGGAAATCACAACGCACTTGTCCTTAAGCAAATAAATAAAAAAGGTTGAGGGTCAGGTCTCGCTCTCAGAAAAAGAAGGAACATTTTATCATATGTGGTGGGAATGTAAGAAAATAAAGAACTTTTGGGAAATGATATATGATGAGATAAAAAAGATGTTGCAATATACATTTTCTAAAAAAAACCAGAAGCATTTCTACTTAGTATTATAGGTCAGGATATTAATAGGCAAGATGTTAAATATGCAACAACAGTGGCAAGAGTATTGTTAGCCCAGAAATGGAAGCAAGAAGAATCTCCGACGAAAGAGGAATGGCAGACGAAAATAATGGACTATGCAGAATTGGTCAAAAGGACAGGAAGGATTCGAAACTTGCGGGAACAGAGATTTACAGAAGGTTGGAAGAAGTATATTAACTATTTGAAGAGCAATTGTAATCAACAAAATACGCTAGTAGGACTATAAGAAGTTTTGTAGGGAGAAATATATAAAGTGCTACAAAGTAGATAAAGAATAGATATTGGTTATGAGTTTTAAATGTAACGGAAAATAAGAAATGTATACTGGGAGATTAGATTGAAAATTTTCAGACTGGACTGATGGAAGTCAAAATATTGAATAAGATGTAAAAATATGTTTAATTACTGTTGAAAATGGTATGTTAAAAAAAACTTAGAAAAAATTATATAAAAAAGAGAGAGTCAGGTCTCGCTCTCAGGTATTCCTTTTGCCTCAGCGTTTCTGCCAGCACCCCACAGGATGCCATGTAAACATGCACGGTTCACCTTGTAGGCTCGAGGCATTCTGGGTAAGAACTTCCCGCCACCGCACTGCACGATGTTCCTCATGTCCTCCAGCTCCAGGTTGACGTTAGGCGTAACGTGGATTTCGTAGCCCTGGAAGGGAAAAGAGACAGGTCTGTGGTGTGTCAAAGGAGCACGGGAATCTGAAGCTTAGTGAGGAAGGGTTGAGCCAGAATTGGACTACGCCTGCGACTCAAGATGGAAGCTTACACCATAGAAATGATATATAATGAATTGAAAAAGATGTTTTAAGTAACATTTGTTAAAAAAACAAAAAAACCCCAGAAGCTTTTCTTTTGGGAATTATAGGGACAGAAGTACCTAATTGTATAGAAATTTATTTATGTATGCTACTACAGCAGCAAGATGTTGTGTTGTTGTTTAGTCATGTCCGCCTCTTCGTGACCCCATGGACCAGAGCACACCAGGCACTCCTGTCTTCCACTGTCTCACGCAGTTTGGTCAAACTCATGCTGGTAGCTTCGAGAACACTGTCCAACCATCTCGTCCTCTGTCGTCCCCTTCTCCTTGTGCCCTCCATCTTTCCCAGCACCAGGGTCTTTCCAAGGAGTCTTCTCTTCTCATGAGGTGGCCAAGGTACTGGAGCCTCAGCTTCAGGATCTGTCCTTCCAGTGAGCACTCAGGACTGATTTCCTTCAGAATGGAGAGGTTTGATCTTCTTGCAGTCCATGGGACTCTCAAGAGTCTCCTCCAGCACCATAATTCAAAAGCATCAATTCTTTGAAATGTTAAATTGATTGTAAAGCTAATGAAATGTATAAGTTTGAAAATATAAAGAAAAAAGAAAGAAAGCTGACACCATAATGAAATGTGTTAGTCTTTAAAAGGATTAGCAAGGCTCTAGGTTGTTTCTCCTGCAACAGACGGATACGGCTGCTCCTCTGAAAGTTGGAAGGCATTTTCTGAGCCTTCGTGCTGTATCTTGCCTCCCACTGTTACCTCGGGCGGTTTAGCATTACAGCTCCTCATCCTAATACTATAACACTCCTCTGTGGGGAGGAAATTCCACCACTCAGGGCCTGCCGCAGAGAATGCCTTCTCCCAAAACCTTTCAAGGGCAGTGGAACTACTAAAGGGGGCCCTTCTGCCGATCTTGCCCCCCAACCTCCCAAGGAACTGTAGGGAAGCAGTGTCATGGTGTTTCTTTAATTGCCTAAACTGTCCAAGCATCCAGAAGTGCAACTGGGGGAACTCTGGGATCAAATTGCACCTGTAGCTGACCCAGGTTGCGAGTGACATTTGGCTGGAGTTTCAGGGTGCCGAGATTAAAAAGTCTAGTAAAGAGCAATATAGTTTTGAGTCCTTACTGTCATCAAGCACATTTCAACGCCTGAAGTACATATCGCTCCTTCCTTGTGTACAAAATACAGTGGTACCTTGGGTTAAGTACTTAATTTGTTCCGGAGGTCCGTTCTTAATCTGAAATTGTTCTTAACCTGAAGCACCACTTAGCTAAATGGGGCCTCCTGCTGCCGCCGTACTGACGGAGCATGATTTCTGTTCTCATCCTGAAGCAAAGTTCTTAACTTGAAGCACTATTTCTGGGTTAGCGGAGTCTGTAACCTGAAGCGTCTGTAACCTGAGGTACCACTGTAGCAGAACTGACAACGGTCAAAGCAACTGTTTATACACATTTCTGAAGTCCTGGGCCACTCCCACTCCTAACGTGATTGGCTGTCTAAACTTCCAAGCTGCGAATCATGACCCAGAGTTTAAAGGCCAATGGCAGAGGCCCAAATCCTGAAATGTTCTGTGATTGGATATCATGTATCTAATCAGAACATTGGGGGGGGGGGCTCAGAATCCTTAGTCCAGACTTAAGTTCAGGCAAACACAGACCACTGAATACATAACACAAAATAACTCTTTAAAATGCAGTATTATTTAGTAATTAATTCTGCCTCAAAACTGGTGCACGGCAGGGCTGTATCTGCAATGTAAAAACCCCATGTCCCCTTAGTTAATTTTATTAATTAACAGAGACAGGTGAATGCCAACCATGTCACACCATGACACTGTTCTCTGATCGGCTTGCAGACAACAGAAGGGTTACATTTTAATTATAAAAGCATGGCGCCATACAACAGTAAACAAATCCCAGCATAAAAATTCAGCGCCCACCCTCAAAAAAAGCAGCAGCAGACTCAAAACAGGCTGAGAGCTGCATAAGGTCATTAAAAGTACACAGATGACCTAAATTTCAGCTGATTTCAGAAGTTAAGCATTTTAAACCCTGGGGGGAAAGAAGTGCCTCTTTGCTATTGCAAAAGACTCCAAAGTCTTTTCATATGGCTACAGCAAAGGTCACTTTGCTCCACCTCTAAGGTGTGGCTCCTTTAAGCAACAAGAGAGAAGCAAAAGGAGGAACTAGAGAAAAGAAAGCGAAACTGGACTCTGCAATCTGTCAGCAGAGATGGCGGAGGGTTTTCAGCAAGATCTGACTTGTTCCGTCTGCCTCGACGTGTTTACTGAGCCGGTGCTGCTTCGATGTGGGCACTGCTTCTGCCAGAAGTGCATCACCTCCTCCTGGGACAGCCAAGGGGGAGCTCCTAGCTGCCCTGACTGCCGGGCCCCCTGTCCTGACAGACATTTCACACCCAATCACTTGCTGAGAAACTTGGCCCAAAAGGCAAGAGAGGCCCAGGAGGAGGTCCCCGAGAAGAAAGCGCGAGAAGACCCAGAAAATCACGAAGAGACGCCGACAGGCAGAAGCAGCCCGGGTGCTGATCAGGGGTTGCTCTGCGCAAAACACGCTCGCACTTTGCAGCTCTTCTGCCTCACCGATGAGGACCCCGTTTGTTTGTGCTGTGTGGATTCGCCTGCCCACGCCGGACACAAGTTCAGCTCCTTGAAAGACGCTGCTGAGCAGTACAAGGTAAGCATGCGACAAGAGACTGGGGATGCTTTGAGTAAAGTGAGGCAATTGCCGTCCATCAGCTGATTCAGGCGGTGTTGTGAAAGGGAAGGTAACTCCTCCTTATTTGTTGTTGTTGTTGTTGTTGTTAAAGATTTTCTTGGTTTACAAAAGTATGTGCAATGTCTCTCTCTTGTTTCCCCAGTAACATTTTTTACAGATCAGTTTCATTTGTTGAGGAGGGACGCGGGTGGCGCTGTGGTCTAAACCACAGAGCCTAGGGCTTGCCAATCAGAAGGTCGGTGGTTCGAATCCCCGCAACAGGGTGAGCTCCCGTTGCTCGGTCCCTGCTCCTGCCAACCTAGCAGTTCGAAAGCACATCAAAGTGCAAGTAGATAAATAGGTACCGCTCCGGCGGGAAGGTAAACAGCGTTTCCATGCGCTGCTGTGGTTCGCCAGAAGCGGCTTAGTCATGCTGGCCACATGACCTGGAAGCTGTACGCCGGCTCCCTCGGCCAATAAAGCGAGATGAGCACCGCAACCCCAGAGTCGGCCACGACTGGACATAATGGTCAGGGGTCCCTTTACCTTTACCTTCATTTGTTGAGACATTAGGAAGAAAAGGGGGAAAGAGGTGGAGGGGTGAAAGGTGAGTGGGGGTGGGATCGGGTGGCGATGTTTCTATTTTACTTAATATATGTGGGGTTTTGTGTCAGCGTCGCTTGTGCAGGTTCTCTGCTGTTCACTTGTGTTCCTTTGGTGCTGAGAGAGGTTGGGGTTGGCCTAGGTTGTGGTTATTCACTTGTGGTTGGCTGTGGTGATCTTTGTTTTCGTGTATGAGTGGGGTGGGTGGGTGTTTTGGATCAGGTTAGCCATATTGATTTGTAGGCTGTTGGTGGATTTTTGTTGTTGTCTTGTTGGGCTGTGTATGTGATAAAGGGGAGCCATACCGGGGTGAAGGCGTCGTCTTCTATTTGTCAGTTTCAGTTTATTGGTTAATTTTTCTAGTAAGGCTGTTTCCCATACTATTTGGTACCATGGGCCCATGCTTACCCGTGACAGGTCTCTCCAGTGTCTGGCTATGATGTTTCTGGCTGCTGAAAGTAGGTGGGTTATGAGTTCTTTGTGGTGTAAATGGGCATCTCGTTAATTGTTATTAAATAATAACAAACCCTCCATGTGTCCCTATTTCCCAGGGACAGTCTCGTATTTGCAGAAGCCATCCCGGTTTCCAATTTGATCCCGGAATGTCCCACGTTTCCTTAGAACGTCCCTATTTTCATGGGAGAAATGTTGGAGGGTATGGAGTTATGTGACCCCCTGCCGAGCCAAGGAGATAAGTAGCTAGACAACCTTTAGAAGACATCTGAAGGCAGCCGTGCATTGTTCCAGAGAAGGGCAATCAACATGTTTAAGGGGATGGAGGAACTTCTCTGTGAGAAATGGTTACAACACTTAGGGCTGTTTAGTTCAGAAAAGAAAAGTTAAGGAGGTGGCATTTTATTTATTTGCAGTATTTATAACCTGGTTGAATATCTGCAATCCTGGAATGTAGAACAAAAATAATAAAAGGAAATAGAGAAAAACAACGCTGGGGGACATGGCAGGTTCCCTGACCTGCCTAATTTTACAAACTCTTCTTCCTCCCCTAGCGGAAGCTGGACAAGGTTCTGGGTTGCCTGGAAACCAGAATTAAACAACAAGAGCAACAGGAAGGATGTCAAGAAGAAAACATACGTTCCTTGAGAGTAAGAGGAAATAATTCCTAGCTTCTTCTTCTTCCTCTTCTACGTCTTCTTATTATTATTATTTATATTCTTTTATTCACTTTATCTTGCCCAAGGCAACCCAAAATGACTTAACAACCAAACAGAAAAGCCCACATAGATACATTAAAACCAAGGAAAGAATTCATTAAAAACTCCCCACCCACTTCTAAAAGGCCACAGATAGTTAAAGGCCAAAGGCCTGGTTATAGACTTTATTATTATTATTATTTTGCCTGGTGCCTAAAGGTATGCAATGAAGGAGTCAGGCAAGCCTCCCTGGGGAGAGCATTCCACAAAGGGAGAGACACTACAGAGAAGGCCTGTTCTTGTGTCTATAGGCAGGGACATTGCATTTTGGGGACTTAAGATGGTGAGCAGCCACCATGGATGGGAGCTTAGTTTAGCTTCTTTTCAAAAGTGGCACTTTTGAAAAGGGTCCAAACCAGGCTTCCTCAACCTCAGCCCTCCAGATGTTTTGGCCTACAACTCCCATGATCCCTAGCTAACCACTGGTCCTGTTAGCTAGGGATCATGGAAGTTGTAGGCCAAAACATCTGGAGGGCCGCAGGTTGGGGATGCCTGCTATAGACCTACTAAATCTTCTTGCCTGGACTGTATAAAACTGGAAAATTCATTTTACACCGGGTTTACTTCAAAATGGCAGGCACCCACTATGGGTGGGAGCTGAGCTTGGCACCCAGCTGAAGGATGGCACCATCACCTGCCACTGAAAAGCATGTATGGACCTAGCAAGGAGACCATTAAATGGGGATGTGGCCAAGTTGGGCTTGTGAGGGGGCCTGGATTAGCAACAACCCCTCATTTTTACAAGGTATATTTCGATTCATTTGTTTCTTCTCACTGAACGGCTAACTGGGTTCTCACTTCCTCCACCACAAAAACCTCCCAATGGAACTTCTTTCCATTGCAGAACTCAGCTGATTCCCTTCGCAAGACGATTGAGGACGACTTCGCTGAGCTGCAGCAATTCCTGAGCCAGAGGAAAGATGCAGTACTGGCCCAGCTAGATGAGGATGAAAACGCTGCGCACGTGAACATGGTGGTGCATCTCTGGGACATCCGGGAGGGCCTGTCTGAAGCCAGAGAGATGATGAGCCAGGGAAAGGCCAAAATAGAGCAGACGGATTCAGCTGCCTTTCTCCTGGTGAGGCGAAAACCTTGGCACCTCTTTAGTGTAACCATTGCAGAGGGTTTCCCAGAAAATTTTGGACTGGACAATTGTTGGTTTCCAATTGAAATTTATTTTGATGTTTCAGTAAAGTGATCTAAATTGCTGCGTTTTCTTTGCTGAAAGCTTTTGATGCTGCCTTCGTTGTTAGTAACAAACTTTTGTTGTTGTTTTGTCGTTTCCGACTCTTGGTGGCCCCGTGGACCAGAGCAGGCCAGGCACTCCTGCCTTCCACTGCCTCCCACAGTTTGGTCAAACTCATGTTAGTATACAACATACAAACATCTAAATAACAGCCTTTGCTACACCTTTCATTATAAGGATTGTTAGGCCTTCCTGCGTTCTCAGAGTCAACTGGCAAGGCACCCACACTGACAATGCTCTCACCCACCCACCCGTCTTCCAGATTTCCCTTATCCATGCCCTCCACTGTAGGGCAGAGAGTCATAATGGAATGAGACTACCTGAAGGAGCGTCTCCACCCCCATCGTTCAGCCCAGACACTGAGGTCCAGCTCTGAGGGCCTTCTGGTGGATCCCTCACTGCGAGAAATGACGTTACAGGGAACCAAACAGAGGGCCTTCTCGGTAGTGGCACCCGCCCTGTGGAATGCCCTCCCATCAGATGTCAAGGAAATAAACTCATGTTGGTAGCTTCAAGAACACTGTCCAACCATCTCCTCCTCTGTCGTCCCCTTCTCCTTGTGCCCTCCATCTATCCCAACATCAGGGTCTTTTCTAGGGAGTCTTGTCTTCTCTTCTCATGAGGTGGCCAGAGTACTGGAGCCTCAGCTTCAGGATCCGTCCTTCCAGTGAGCACTCAGGGCTGATTTCCTTCAGAAGGGATAGGTTTGATCTTCTTGCAGTCCATGGGACTCTCAAGAGTCTCCTCCAGCACCATAATTCAAAAGCATCAATTCTTCGGCGATCAGCCTTCTTTATGGTCCAGCTCTCACTTCCATACGTTACTATTGGGAAAACCATAGCTTTAACTATACGGAGCTTTGTTGGCAAGGTGATGTCTCTGCTTTTACAAAATGGCAAATTTTCCACAGAAAAATAACATGCTAGAAGTTGGGCTGCCCCACATCACTATCTATAACCAATCACACAGAATAGGTTAAGGATTCAGAATGAGGAGAGGGCCAAGACTCTTCGGAGCAAGGACTAGCATTTTGGTAGGTGGAGTCAACGCAGGAGGAGTGATGCCCCTTGTGGCCCCTTCCAATTCCATGATTCTAGAACCCCAAAAGGCATTGTGGAAACAGTTAACCATATAAAACTTGCAACCAAGCTAGCTCCTCAGTCTGAGCAACTTGTGTGACTTGGTACCAGGCCAAAACCCAATTTCCAGCCCTGTCTCCTTCAGACATACTGCTGGTGCTGCAGGAGCTGCTTCTCTGTGGAAGAATGAACTTGAGTTGCTGCTTCTTCTTCTTTGATGATCACTCGTAGCCAAGTAAGATTGTCTTCCATGAACACGGTTTTAACAATGAGTCCGCAAGTGACTGTGGAGGCCAATTCTGGATCCGCACGTCCTTCCACAGTGGGGACATAGGTTTCTGGATGGGCATTGATCATGGTGAGGGTTTGCCATGTGTTCCTTCCTTTTAGCCCATTTCTCCCTTTTGCCCTGAGTTCGAGCGTCTTTGAAATCCACAACACCTTGGGTAAAGGCTGTTCTCCAATTGGAGTGCTCACAGACCAGTGTTCCCCAGTTGTTGGTGTTTATATTTGAGTTGCACTAGTATGCCGGGAGCCCTCCACCTAGGTGTTCGTCTACCCAGGTGAAATATTAATCACCAGATGAGGAAATCTTACCATTGGCTCTACCCTCATCATTCTTGTCCATGGGATTCCGCAGCATCCTATGATTGTGTGTGAAGCTGACTTGGAGAAAATCTGTTTCCGTGTCAATCTAGTCTCCTGTAGGAGGTCATCTCTCTGTGTCTTATCAAATCAGGTGGGAATATTGGAGTGTGTGTTCCATCTTTGGGAAGGCAAGGGGGTATGGTTGGTTAGGGTTGTGGGCTGAAAGGAGCCCCACACTCCCAGGCGCCCTGGGAAAGAAGAATTAGCAAACAGGATAGCCAGCACTCCATGATTCAATGGGAGGACAGAGGGACCTAATGGCTTTGAGGAAGGCAAGATTAGGGTGGATGACGGGGTGAATCAGGATTCTGTTATTTTCCAGGATACGAAAGGAGAGATTCAGGCTTCCTAACCATCTCACCTTCTTTCTCCCTCCCCAGGGTGTCCAGGAGCTCCTGAAGAAGTGAGTATGGCGTCTTTCCGCTAGTTTCATATGTGAGAGAGCGGATGGCCACTTGCTGTAACTAGTATTCTGCTCCTCTTCCCACTAGGCTCCCTGCTGAAAAGGAGGCTGAGGACGTAGGAAACCAGGCTGACCACTCTGCTGTTTGCAGGGAACTCTGCCTGGGCAAGTTCAAGGGTCCACTGCAATACCTAGCATGGAATAAGATGAGATCCATCGTCAGAACAGGTAACTGAAAGGAAGTTCAGGAATGATTGAGAGTAATGTCAGATCAGATGAAAGAAAACCATTCTTCGTACCACATGTGATTAACACTTGGAATTCTATGGGCAGAAGATGTGGCAATGGTTGCTTGCAAAGAGAATTAGAACTCATGGCAAGTGGAATAAAATGTTGTATTGTGGTGTGCTGCTGTTCAGAGTCCCAGACACTCGGTTCCAGGCAGAGGGCCTTCTCGGAAGTGGCACCCGCCCTATTGGAATGCCTTCCCATCAGATGTCAAGGAACTAAACAACTATCTTGACTTTTAGAAGACATCTGAAGGCAGCCCTGTTTAGGGAAGTTTTTAATGGTTGGTGTTTTATCGCTTTATTATTAATAATAATATTTTGTTGGGAGCTGCCCAGAGTGGCTGGGGAAACCAGCCAGATGGTCAGGGTATTAATAATAATAATAATAATAATAATAATAATAATAATAATGGGTGGAGGAAATGGAAAACTGCAGGTGGGTGACAAAACAACAACAAAACAACAGCAGATTATTATTATTATTATATTATCTTTATTATCTTTATTATTATTATTATTATCCTGTCACCCCACCTGCAGTTTTCCATTCCCCCCACCCCAAACAGTTAATGTACATTCTGCGGCCACTATGAACATTCAGTCCTCATTGGGACTCCCTTAGGTTTCTTCCCTGAAAAATTTTCTATACTTCTGGCGTTCTCCCGAGGCCGCTGATATTTCCTTCTGGTGTGGGGGTTGTGTATTTTGGTTACATGCCACTTACATCCTGTACACCAGATAATCAGAATAAAGGACATGATAGTGAAGTGGAACTTCTACATGTGGAGGCAGGTGCTGCTGGGGACCAGTCTCTAGGAACCAATGACGGGAGAGGAAGTTTCATGCTCGGAGCATGCTTGTGGTTTGAGCTACTGTTGAAGACAGGATGCCGAAGAAGGCGGGCCTTTGGTCTGATCCAGCAGAACTCCTTCTTGCATCTCTGTGTCCTTAGGTGCATGGAGGCAGAGCTTGCATTCCTGCAAGAATTCAGCAGAGGGATGACATTGTTATGTACAGCTGTGTTTACAAGTGGCAACCATTCATGTATAATGTGGGGAAAGGCGCTTTGACACTGTCAGGCTATGGTTTAAACCTGCCTGATGACTCCAGAAACAGCATCCATAGACTGCCAAGGCTGTTCCTATCAGCACATCTCCATTCTGGTTTCTGTTTCTTGATTGTGTTTATTTGTGTTTGGAACTAGCTTCTATATAGGAAGAGAAGATACCTTTGCCATTTCTTTGAAAAGCTTCCGTCTAAGCAGGGATCAGGGATGCGGGTGGCCGTTGTGGGTTAAACCAGTGGTTTCCCAACCTTTTTTGGGCAAAGGCACACTTGTTTCATGAAAAAAATCTCGAGGACACCACCATGCCAGATGGGGAAAGGTCCACTTTTTACTTATGTAAAAAAAAAAAAAAAAAATAGTACAGCATCAGAAGGTAATGGTTATCTTCTTGAATGTCTGATGGGAGGGCATTCCACAGGGCGGGCGCCACTACCGAGAAGGCCCTCTGCCTGGTTCCCTGTAACCTCACTTTTCACCAGTGAGGGAATTGCCAGAAGGCCCTTGGCACTGGATCTCAGTGTCTGGACTGAACGATGGTGGCGGAGACGCTACTTCAGGTATACTGGACCGAAACCGCTTAGGGCCTTTAAGGTCAGCACCAACACTTTGAATTGTGCTCGGAAAGGTACTGGGAGCCAATGTAGGTCTTTCCAAGACTGTCGTTACGTGGTCTCGGCGGCAGGTAGCAGCGCTCACAGCCTTACGGACTGCACCATGTAACAGGTGTCTGGCCCAGCAGCCTAAGGCGGACAAGCCACTGAAACGCATTCAGAATCCATTCATTTCATAAACCTGCAGGGCTCAATCTCTGTGTTTGTGTATGTGTGTGTTTCTGTTTTGCCCAAGGTCTGGGGTGGGAGAGAGCTCTTTAGCATGATGCTTTTTAAATACAATTAAATTATCAACAAACAAACCTGATGTACGAATAGCAACGTCAGGTGCTACCGGCCGGGGGGGGAGAAGGGGGCCTACTCGGAAGTAAATACTGCGTCCAGGCCGCAATAGCGCTGATTTAAGGTGCACCAAGACTGCCTAAAAACCACAACCAAAGATATGCCAACAAAGCGCTTCGTTGCAGAGGGAGAGTTGTGCACCGTGGAGGCTGGAGGGCCTCTATTCTACATGTGGGGGTTGGGGGGGCGAGGAAAATGTGCTCCTGGGGGGGCGGGGAAGGCAAGAAAGGAGCTGAGCTCTAACTATAGGCTCCACGCTTGAGCAGGCCCGACTTGGTGGGGCGGACCACCCTCTCTCCTGGAGGAGGAGGAGGAAGGAGGAGGAGATCCCATCTACGGTGTGGCCTCCCCGCTCCTGAAGCGTGAAATCTCTGCAGCCCAAGACTCTCCGCGAGGCAGCTCCTCCCTTCCTACCTTGAGCCGCCGCCAGCTCGCGCCCCCCTCCCCAGTTATCTGCTGCCTGCCAAGCCCCGCCCCTCTTCATTGTCCTCCCCTTCTGTTTATTCCCCTTCCTCCATCCCCTCGCTTTTTTTCCTCTCTTTCCTTTTTTTAAAAAAAATATTTTCTCTTCCCCTTCTTTTTTTCCACCTTTCTTTTTTCTCTTTCTCCCCCCCCCCCCCCGCCTCCTGGGTTAAAGGATTTGAGCAATGGGTCTGGAGGTTGGAGCTCGTCGGAGGATTAGCCCGGACTCGCCCGCCCTCCCTCCCACGGCACACTAGGCAACGTCGGCGGCACACTAGTGTGCCGCGGAACACCGGTGGGAAACACTGGGTTAAACCACAGAGCCTAGGACTTTGCTGATCAGAAGGTCGGCAGTTTCGAATCCCGCAACGGAGGAGCTCCCGTTGCTCGGTCCCTGCTCCTGCCAACCTAGCAGTTTGAAAGCATGTCAAAGTACAAGTAGATAAATAGGAACCGCTCCGGTGGGAAGGTAAACGGCATTTCCATGCGCTGCTCTGGTTTGCCAGAAGCAGCTTAGTCATGCCCGGCTCCCTCGGGCCAATAAAGCGAGATGAGCGCCGCAACACCCCAGAGTCGATCACGACCTTGACCTATGGGTCTGGGGTCCCTTTACTTTAAGCAGGGATCACACGTCTTTGCTTCACTATATTTCCTAGGCTGACATGAGGGGCTAGGAGCTTGCATTTTAACATGTTAAACACCAGATTTCATTTCACTTTTAACTTTGTATTTTCTATAATACGATATGCCAAGGCGGCTTACGAGCTGATGAAAAACAACAAAGAGCGGCACACCTTTATAACAATCTAATCCAATACCAATGGCTCTCACCTTATGTTTTTAATGTAAGATTGAGAGCCAAAGGAAAATCACCCACGTCCACTTGTTTCTTTCCCTTTTGGTAACCTAGGATGGAGCTAAAGGTAGGATGCCCCAATTTTATTGAACTCATTCTTTTCCTTTGCTTATCAGAAGTAGAACCGGTCAACCTGGACTGCGGCACTGCTCATCCCGAATACACTTTCTTATTGCAAAAACTATCGTACGGCGTTTGGATTGTTTAAGAATCCCCTTGAACTATCCAGCGATATTTCAGGGACTCTCCCGTTGTGCTGGGGAAAGAGGGGTTCCATTCAGGAAGACACTACTGGGAGGTTGAGGTGCAAAACAAGGAAGACGTGGTTGATTGGCGTAGCCTTGGAGTCTATCCCACAAGCAAAACGGCAAGGATCCCACTTCTCTTGACGGACAAGATCTGGTGTCTGGAGCCAACAGAGGAGGATAGCGAGCCTCCAAAATGGATCATCATGGTGGAAGGTTGGCGTGTACCTGGACTAATGAGGGAGGCCAAGTTTCTTCTATGATGTAGCAGCTGGGTCTCACCTCTGCACACACACGGCCCGTTTTCAGCGAAAAGGTCTACCCCTTCTTCCAACCTACGCCAGCTGCTTCAGGCAAAAACGCTACCATTAGCTTTGAAAACTTCTCACAGTTAGGACATTAAAGCAATTCTTAAGAGGGTATTATTATAAAAAGGAAAGGTAGGTGTGTTTGCCCATTAGATAAAAGTCCAAAGTCCATACTAAGGCAGTGGCTTTTGTCAGGCCAGCCAAGATGCAAACTCCATGACTTTCATCATCAGCCAACTTCCCTCCCACCTCGCCTTATTTGCTATCAAACCTGATGAAGAGCTCTGGAGTAACTTGAAGGCTTGCTCACTATTTCGTGATGTTTTAGACTTGACCTAATAAAAGACATTGCCCTAATGTGGATTTTGGAATGTTCTTAAGTGCACCACATTTCTCCAAGCATTGAAAGTGTGTGCCCTCTGGGAAAGAGATTGTTGGTGAATTCAGGTATTTTGTGATATGTACAGTGGTACCTTGGTTTCCAAACTTTATCCATTCCGAAGTCCATTCCCAAACCAAATGTCCTAAAACCAAGGCACGCTTTCCCATAGAACAGTAATGCAGAATGATTACTCCGTTTTCAGTCTTTTAAAAACAATCCCTAAAACAGCAATTTAAACATGAATTTTAACTATCTAATGAGACCATTGATCCACAAAATTAGATAAATTGACCCTTGGCCAATAAGCAAGATGAGCGCTGCAACCCCAGAGTCAGTCATGACTGGACCTAATGGTCAGGGTCCCTTTACCTTTAGATTTTTTATTTTTTTTAAATCAAGTAGCGATAAGGAGATATATATGTGTGCAAAGCAGGCTGGGATCCTGGGAGGAAGGTAAATAAGGCCAAATGTCATTTGCACTGAAAGAAAAGGTTTCCACTGGGTGCAATGGGGAGCTCTAGCTTTTCTTCCAGAGCAACAAAAAGCAGGCATATAGGCAGAATGAAGCAAAGGAGCAAAAAGCCCTTCTGATTCCCACAACCACCAGGGATCTATGATCTGGGTTAGGGCCTGCTATTTACTTTTTTAAAAAAGCCCTTCATACCATTCCTAAACTGGTTTGAAAGAGGCGACACAGCCTATTTGGCAGACTACCAGTTCCCATCATCCCCGACCACGCTAGATAGCTGGGGTTGCATGGGGAGCTGGGAGTCTAACAATCTCTGGAGGCACAAGGGCAAAACTAGTTCTTGTATGGTCTGCCCTTTAGGCACATTTTGCTTACATTGTTTTCGTACTAGCGAAGCGTGCCAAAGATGGCCTTTCCTTATAACCACGTGTGGTGACTCTCTCTTACTACATCTAAAAAGTATAAAAGAAAGGGCTCAAGACGGTTTTGAAAGCACATTAACTTGTGTTTGTATTGTGACTGGATTTGTTATCAATTGGGATGTTTCTTAACTGAAAATTAATAAAAAATATTTACAGTGGCACCCTCGGGTTAAGTACTAATTTCGTTCCGGAGGTCTGTTCTTAACCTGAAACTGTTCTTAACCTGAAGCACCACTTTAGCTAATGGGGCCTCCCGCTGCTGCTGCTGGCGCCACAGGATCATGATTTCTGTTCTCATCCTGAAGCCAAAGTTCTTTTTTTTAAAGTTTTTTTTATTCAAAATTTAAAACAAGACATATTATCCAAAAACATATCATCCTTGTTTTCCCCCCATTTTGCCTGCCCCCCCCCGGCAAAACTCACCCACCCCCACCCCCCTACTTCCCTCAGTTCCAGTCTTTGGTTTCTCTGAGACTGCTGTTTTCTGCATGTTACAAAGTTGTATAGATCCTCAAACTATTTAGCTGATTATTATCAATAAAAAGTTCTTAAGCAAAGTTCTTAACCCGAGGTACTATTTCTGGGTTAGTGGAGTCTGTAACCTGAAGCGGATGTAACCTGAGGTACCACTGTATAACAAAAAACTTGAACCTGCTGAGGCGGAACTGCAGAAAGGCCCTGCATGAAAACTGTTTGGCTTCCATATGCAGTTTGGTATAAATAAATTATTATTTTATTATTATTATTATTATCTATTATTATTATTATTATTATTATTATTATTATTATATTTCCCCCCCCCCGCCCCTTGGCACAGCCACAGGAAATATGCACACCCTCCCGCAGATACACAATTCCAAAAGAACCAGGTTGTTTTTTATACCCATTTTATTGACAGTGGTAAAAAAACAAAACACAAAAGAGTTATTTACAAGTTTAAGGCAACGTCGCCATGTAATGGGCTGCGCTTCGGTCTCAACACCGCCTCTTGGCTGTGCTGGGCAAGGCTGGGGTTGCTGGCGCCGCAGCCGCCCTCTTCCTCCTCGTCCTGGTCGGGGGAGTGGCAACGGAGGGGGGGCTCATCCCGTTCAGCCGGTGGGCGTCCACATCCAGCTTCTGCTGCAATATACCTGTCAGGATGAACTCTGCGTTGGCGATTGGGAGCTTGGCGTCCTGAGCTGCTTTGCAGCGGGGCAGGTCTTCGGGACAGGAAATCACAACGCACTTGTCCTTAAGCAAATAAATAAAAAAGGTTGAGGGTCAGGTCTCGCTCTCAGAAAAAGAAGGAACATTTTATCATATGTGGTGGGAATGTAAGAAAATAAAGAACTTTTGGGAAATGATATATGATGAGATGAAAAAGATGTTGCAATATACATTTTCTAAAAAAAACCAGAAGCATTTCTACTTAGTATTATAGGTCAGGATATTAATAGGCAAGATGTTAAATATGCAACAACAGCGGCAAGAGTATTGTTAGCCCAGAAATGGAAGCAAGAAGAATCTCCGACGAAAGAAGAATGGCAGACGAAAATAATGGACTATGCAGAATTGGTCAAAAGGACAGGAAGGATTCGAAACTTGCGGGAACAGAGATTTACGAAGGTTGGAAGAAGTATATTAACTATTTGAAGAGCAATTGTGTAATCAACAAAATACGCTAGTAAGGACTATAAGAAGTTCCAGGAATTGATCTGACCATGGCACTTCTTTGTTTTCATTTTACCTAGTGTCATATCACCCATGTCACTATTGGTGAACACTAGGTGTAAGGCCATGTCCTGGACTATGAGTTGGGCAAAACTTATTCAGGGACAGCCCCATGGAGGCCATGCTTTCACGAAGTCCCAAGCAGCCCTTGTAAGGTCATGTTGGCATGGATGTTAAAATCCCTAGAACAACCAAACTGGTATCTCCAGGAGAACATCCGCGATGACCTGAAGCAGCTCCGGCAGGGATCCTGTGCAGCGGGGAGGTCAGTACACCAAAGGAATCCTGTACTGCCCTATTGCCCAGCTTCCAGAACATGCACTCAGAGAACTGGGTCTTTCATATGCGCAGAAGCGCCAAATTGCACCAGTGCCTGTGCAGATGTGGCGCTTCAGGATGCGAATGCTGTGGGTTGCGGACGTGCCTCAGTCACGGGTTATGTCTGCAACCCGAGGTTCCACTGTACCAATTTTGTTTTAGGGCTTAATTTGCCAGTAAATTTTATTCCTTTATTCATAATTGTTCTCACTGTTCTACTGTGAACTGCTCTTAAAATTTTTGCATCCATTTTGTCATATAAGGTTTTGCTTGTTCGGGCTTGGTGTCATATTTGAGTAATAGTTTATAAATTTTACCCAGAAGGTAGAACTCTGTTATGATGGACTCAGATTCTATATTTTCACTGATTTAAATGTTTGCCATACAGTCTTTCTTGAATCTGGATATTAGTTGACAGTATGTAAGCAGTTTCATATTTTTTCTCCTCTTTAATACTTTGGCATGTATTTGATCTGTTCTTGAAGATGAACCATATCTTGGTACAATATATACCGTATTTTTCACTCTATAGGACGCACCAAACCATAGGAGGGGGAGAACAAGGAGAAAAAAATTCTCCCCCTCTCCGCTCAGCGCCCCTTCAGCGAAGCGGGATGAGAAACGGAGCAAAGCCTGGAGAGCAAGAGGGATCGGTGTGCACCGACCCCTCTCGTTCTCCAGGCTTCAGCGAAAGCAACGCGTAGCCTCTGGAGCGTGGAGGGAGCGCTCCCTCTGCGCTTCGGAGGCTTCGTGTTGCTATCGCTGAAGCCAAGGAGCCTGCATTCGCTCCATAGGACGCACACACATTTCCCCTTAATTTTTGGAGGGTAAAAAGTGTGTCCTATAGAGCGAAAAATACGGTAGTCATATATTCTCCTATCGGCTCTAATAATAATATTGCAGTGGTGACATTAACAGTGCAGGTAAGGGGGTTTTTGTGATTTTTGTAGTGCAACTCATGATTTGTGAGTTGTGCCCGTAGCTATGATGTGTGATTTGATGGTGAGTTTGGGGAGCCCCAATGCGAAAAGAGTGAGGATCCTTGAGGATCCGTGCTCAAAAACTACCTTTTTGGGCCATGGCGTTGCCAGGAAGCCATGGATCCATAATTTTTATGGTGCAGGCTCTGCTCCTGGCTATGACGTGTGATTTGATGGTGAGTTTGGGTTGGCCCAATTCAAAAAGCGTGAGGATCCATGAGGATCTGTGCTCCAAAACCACGTTTTTGGGCCTTGGAGTGGCCAGGAAGCCGTGGATCTGAGATTTGTGTGGTGTAAACTGTGCCCCTGGGAAAGATGTGTGATTTGATGGTGAGTTTTGGTTGGCCCAATTCAAAAAGCGTGAGGATCCATGA